CTCTGCCCCGCCCGGCCTGGGGGGGCCCTACATGTTCCAGTGGAACGACGACAGATGCACCATGAAGAACAACTTCATCTGCAAATATTCCCTGGGTGAGGAGGCTCTGCGGGATTCCAGCCCCAGCAGGAGGAACGAGGAGGGCGGTGATGAGGGCTGGAGAGCTGGCCTGCAGGCAAAGCTGAGTTGATAGAAGAAATTGATGATTAAATAATAATTAATGATTAAATAACAACTGATTATTAAATCACAATTGATTATATTCAAGTGTATTTTCAAGTGTATCCATAGCAAGGAAGAAGACAAGGCCATCAGCAGGGGAACAGATTAGAAAATATACAGAGAATATTTGTGAGCTAGACTAAGTGCACAAGTAAATGTGTATGCATTCCTTATGACATTTCTGTCTTTTACCAATTTTATTGACCCTAATTGCTTTGCACCAATGAATATAATAACTACATTAAGATAACTACACCACGAGAACTTATCTTAATGATCATGCTTTATAAAGAGTATATAAGCTAGAGAACACGCAGATTAAAAAGTTTTTCTCCTTAGATACTGACCACGTGTGTGTGTATCACAGGCAGCCTAACAGGGACAGGAAACCCTCCCTCAGTTTTTAATTTGTGCAGCAAATGAGGAAAGAATCCCAGCATCTGTAGCTGCTTGTGGTTTGCATAAATTCCCTGAGGGTTTTTGTGAGGGGTTTGAGGTCTCAGACTGGGGGAGAGAACAGAAGAACAGTGCTCAGGTAGGAAATTGTGCATTTCACTCATGAGCAAATTCTGCATTTCTCTTTCCTTCCAGAAAAGCCAACAAGAGCTCCAACAGACAATTCCCGAAGAGGTGAGTTGGACAGATTTGTTTGGGATTTTTCTTTTTTTTTTTAAATTACTGCTGACTTGCAGTGGAAATACTCTGCCATTCATCGTCAAGGACACCCAAAAAACACCCTGAGCAAGAAGCTGCCCTGCAGTCTGCACCTCCCCTGTGCTGCTCCATGCTCCATCCTGCAGGGAAAATCCTGCAGGGAAAATCCTGCTGCTGGTGATGCAGAGTTGGGTGATACTGCAGGGATTGAAGTGCAAGAGTCCCAATGCACCTCACACACCTTTGCAGCTCCCAGCCTCTTCAATCTCCTCTCAGCCTCAATTTTTTATTATTTAAAAAAAAATAATCTGCAGAATTAATGAAGCTACTTCTTTCCAGCTGTGGTAACAGAGCCTTGGAAGCCAAAATTCCCAGAGGAACGCTGGAGGAAAGGTGCCAATGGAACAGCTGGGGGAGCCAAAGGTGAGTTGTGCTCTCAGAACCTCACTGCAAGTGTTTGCCTCAAAATGTGCCAGACTGAATACAGAAAACAGCCTCTGGAAAAAAAAAAGAAACTTCCTTCAAGTATTTCCCAGGACGGAATAAGGAGGTTGCTCTGGTTGTAAAAAATGTTCAAAATCCAAAGCAAAGTATTTTGGGTGTGGAAAAGCCACTTTTATTATTTATTTATTGTGAATTATATTATTCTATTTATTGTGACTGTTACATAATTAATATTATGTTATTATATTTATTGTGAATGTAATAATGAATATTATTATTGTGAATTCTATTATTATATTTATTGTGAAAGTTTTGTTTGTACATCTGTGATTAACCATGAAAAACTTGCAATTTCTTCTCATGACCCTGCTTCATTTTTACCCCCAGGACCTGTTCAGGGCCTTGCCTTCATCCTTATTTCCAGCATTCCTGTGCTGCTTCTCCTGCTGGCCATCACAGGCATCTCCTGCTTTTGGCTGTTCATGAGGAGGTGAGTGGCACTTTTGTGTTCTGAATTAGCAGTGACACCTTGTCCTGATTACAGCTAATTTCCCCATCCTGCAAAAAGCTCTGCACAGGAGTGTTTGCAGCCAAAGAAATGCTGAAAAAGTGGCCTTGATGCTCCAGGCTGAGTCAATTGGGAAGGAAAATTCTAAGTAAATCACTTCATATTCTTTTCTTGCACTCACAGACCTAGCAGGCAGGAAAATTGTCACCAAGATTATGATTTTGATGTGTGAACCCTTCTACTTTTTTAATTAAAGCTTTGCATTATCAGAAGTTCCCCTTCAAAAGCGAAAAAATGCAGCAAGGGAAACGAAAGGATAACAATCTGGAGCAAAGAATGTTTAGCTCCTTGCTTTCCCTGTGTGCCCAGCAGCTCGGGGGGAATGCTGGCTGGGATTTTGGGAGTTGTGCTGCCCCAGCCTCTGAGCTCAGCAGGAGCTTTCCAGGATTTTCCAGGAGATTTCCAGGAGAGCAGCCTGGAATGGCTGGAATAAGAAACGCCCCGAGCCCAGCTTGGCTCGAAGCTCATCACCAAACCACTGCCACAGCTCTGCTGTCGTTCTGTCTTTTCCTCCGTGCTGTTTCACGGCTTTTCCCTTTCTCCCTGCCCTCCAGGAGGCAGGAGCTGGTGGATGTGACCCCGAAGGGTGACGAGCCCTGGCTGCCCCAGCCCAGCCCCGAGCTGGACATCTACAGGGTGATCCACAAACAATCCGAAGCTGACCTGGCCGGGGCCAGGCCTGGCACCAAGAATTCCTCCTTCCGTGCCCAGAGCCCCTGCAGGGACCCCGGGGACACCTCCAGTGCCTTGGTGACACTGGCCAGCACGGAGAGTGGCTTTGTCACCAACGACATCTACGAGCTCTGCGGGGACCGCGTGGGCAGGAGCGAGGAGTCCGGCTGGGTGGACAACGAGATTTATGGATACTGAGGAAACGGACCCAAAAAAGCCACTGGAGTTTGGATTTTGGGTGTCAGCAGGAGCTGACTTGCCCTCTCTATGCACTTGTTTCATAATGGTGTGTGTGGTTGTTTTCCTGGTGTTGCATTGTGCCCTTGTTCTTCTATTTTCTGCAAGAATAGGGGTTTTTAAAGATCCAAACTGAAAAGGTTTTGCTTTGCACCAAGCCCCCTTTGCCCAAGGAATGGCTTGTTAATACCCTCCATTCCTTTTTGTACCAAAGATATGCCTTGAAAATGAAGGACAATCCAAAATCCTTATTTATTTATAGACCTGCTGCTCCTCAAAGGTGCTGAAAGTTCCTGTGATGTGTGATGGAGCCCTGCTTTCCTGGAGATGCTGAACCTGGCAGGCGGGGAAGGAATCCCTTGGTTTGCTTTGCTTGTGTGTGAGACTTCCACCGTGCCTATTAAATTTCTTTATCTCAACCCATGAGTTTGGCCATTTTTACTCCTCCAGTTCTCTCCCTCACTCTGCTGGAAGGGACAGAGACCCAGAAGTGGAGGGGGAATGACACAAATATTGCCCACCTTTTGTTCTGCAGGTGATTTTCTGGCTCCAGGAGAGCAGCACTGCTGCAGAACAAAACTATAAAGCACCTAAAATGTGTTTTGGTTGCCTAAAAGTCTGCTGTTCTCCATTGCACGTCAATAAATAAAGAGGAAAATGAAAAATTAAAAAAAAAATCATAAGCTGGGAGGAAACAAAGGTTTGGCAAAAAGGTGTTTTAAATGTGGCTGAAACAACAACAGAACTGAGTGCAGGCACAGCCATGAATCTCTTCTGCCAAAATAGGCAGGGAAAAGTTTTTAGATCTCCCTGAGCTGTTGCTGACTGCTGCAAACACTGAAATATTTCAGTTGTCACAGCTGCTTCTCACTTCCTAGAGGCCCCAGGTGGCTGCAGTGACACGGCGGCTGTTCCCCCACCAGGACATGGGGCAAACAAAGCCCTGAAAGGAGAAATCCCTTTAAAAAATAAATAATATTCTAATTGTTTTGGAAACAGCATCGAGTGGGCAACAATTTCTCCTGAAGAGCAAAATCCTGGTACAGGAGAGTGGTCAGGGCTGGGCACCCACAATATCTGGAGTTTCTAGTGCAGTAATTAAGGAAAATCATGCGAAAATCTGTCCATTTTTAATGCTGTATTCCTGGCCTCCTTATTTTTTCTTTTTGGCAGCTATTAAGCATCTTTTAGGCACTGAAAAAAGAGGAAAATGATGGGGAGAACTTGTCAGATGCTGGAGTTCAGCTGTGTAAAGCCAGATTTTGGCAGCCAAAGGTGTGATCCGACCTCTTGAGCCACCCATTGAGGTCTGGCAGCGATCTGGGCATGCTGGGAATTATTAAAGCGAGGAAATTTTATAAATCCCGCAGTTTTCACTGCTCCTTTGGGGCATCCCAGCTGCGGGAGGATGTGCGGGAGCGGCGACCACACGAGGGCATGTGCGCTCCACGTTCGTGTCCTGGAAAACCTGCTCAGCTTTGGGAGGGCTTTGAATCCCTTTCCTTGGAGCAGAGCAGAAACCATCAGCGGCCGTGAAAGCTGCCCTGCAGAGGATTTTCTTTCTTTCTTTTCTTTCTTTCTTTCTTTCCTTCCCTTCCTTTCTTTCTTTTCCTTCCTTCTTTCTTTTCCTTCCTTCTTTCTTTCCTTCCTTCCTTTCCTTCTTTCCTTCCTTCTTTCCTTCCTGTGGGTGCAGTTCCTCTTGCTGCGTTTTTAAGCCCTGTTCCTGTGACCCGAACTTTCCAGCTCTGTGATGGGGGTTTCTGCAGAAGTTTTCTCTTCCAAGCACCAAAATCTGGCTCAATCATCTATTCAGGATGAGGCTCAAAAGTGAGCAGGAAGCAAATAAATGCTCGGAGGCTAAAAACTTCATTTAGGATGACGTGACTGAGAAGGAGTATTAGGTAACATTCTGTAGGGGAAAAAAAAGTAACTTTTGACACGCCGAGTTTGGATGGGAAGAAAAGGTGAAAGAGGAGTGAAATTTGGCAAGTGGCAGCTCGGGATGACACCATTTGCTATTCAAAGAGGATTCTGGAAGGCTCGCTCACGTCCCCATCAATCACTGAAAGGGTGGATGGCTGACTAACCCGAGCCATCAGTTACTCACTGCCAGAACTTCTGCAGGGGATAAATAGAGCAGCAACAGCTCCCTGATTCTCCATGGCAGCCCGAGGCAGCAGCGTCATCCCCAAATGTCACTCCTTGCAGGAATCTCATCAGCAGTGAAGGACAAGCTTTCATTTCTGCGCAGGGATCTTGAACACTCATCGGAACAAAAGTAACTTTTCACAAGGATGAGGCAGCTTTACGTGTAAAACCTGTCTAGAAAGGGAAAGAACACAACTTTGTTCCTTGCATTCCTCCACTCTTTTTCTTTTTTTCCTTTTTTTTAGTGTCCAGGCTCTGTTTTGAGCTGGTTTTGTCCACTCTGGTGTTCATGAAGCTCTGTGGCTGATTCCACAGGCGCGTGCTGTGCCATCAGCTTTGGGATGTTTAGTCAGGGGAACTAAAAGATCCCAGGGGTGATTCCTGCTTCCCAAATGTCGGGAAGGCAGCAGTCCTCCAGTCTGGGATGGAGCAGGGGAGAGGGAGGGACAGGCATGAACTGGCAGAGCAAAAGTCGTGGAATTTTAAAATATAAGTGCACACCTAAAGCAGAATCGGTAGAAATTCAGAAATTCAGCAGAAAGGGCCTTAAATTTCTTCAAACATTCTCAGCTCTGGTCCTCAGAGCATTTCAGGTCAAAGGGAACAACAGAGCTTCCAAATCTGCCCCTCCAAATGTGCAGGAAATAAAAGAGAAGAACAATTCACTGAGAAAGGATCTGCGAAAATCACCCTGTGCACCTGGGCTGGACAGACACCTGGGCTGGACAGACAGACAGCTGGCCTGCGAAAATCACCCTGTGCACCTGCCTGGCCAGGACAGACACCTGGGGCTGGACAGACACCTGGGGCTGGACAGACGGACACCTGGGCTGGACAGACAGACAGCTGGGGCTGAACAGACAGACAGCTGGGGCTGGACAGACAGACACTTGGGGCTGGACAGACACCTGGACTGGACAGAAACCTGGGGCTGGACAGACAGACACCTGGGGCTGCCTCATTCCTCTTCACCCAAAAACGAGCTGGGCGTGTTCAGCTCACAGAGGCTGACAGGATGTCACCGATGTCACCAAGGTGCACAAACCTCTCCAGAGGGGTCAGAGGACGGGGCCGGGCTCCGCTCAGTGTGACAGGATGAGCAGCAACGGCCAGAAATTAAAAAAAAAACAAACAAGTTTTTTAAACTTGTCAGAACTTCCCATGGAGGGTGAGCACTGCCCAGGGGCTGGAGACACCCGAACCCCCCGGCCACTCCCCTGTGCCACCTGCCCCGGTGACATTCCCCCTGCCAGGGCGCTGCACCGGGTGATGCCAGCGCCGAGGGCTCGCTCCGGTGGCTCCCGAGCCGTGGGGACACAGCGCGGGTCCCGCGGCTGCCACCGCCGGGGCTGGTGGCACTGGCGGTGTCACAGCGCGCGTGTCCCCTGGGGCTGGTGGCACTATCCCAGCGCCGGTGCTGCGGTGTCCCCGTGCCAGTGGCACCGGCACTGTCCCAGCGCGGTGCCGCGGGTGTCCCCCGGGGGCTGGTGGCACTGGCCCAGCGCGGTGCCCCGGGGTTGGTGGCACTGGCACTGTCCCAGTGCGGGTGTCTCGGGCTTGGTGGCACTGGCAATGGCACTGTCCCAGTGTGGCAGACACCTGGGGCTGGACAGACAGACAGCTGGGTTTGGACAGACAGACACCTGGGGCTTGGACAGACACCTGGGGCTGGACAGACACCTGGAGCTGGACAGACAGACACCTGGGCTGGACAGACAGACAGCTGGGGCTGAACAGACAGACAGCTGGGGCTGGACAGACAGACACTTGGGGCTGGACAGACACCTGGACTGGACAGAAACCTGGGGCTGGACAGACAGACACCTGGGGCTGCCTCATTCCTCTTCACCCAAAAACGAGCTGGGCGTGTTCAGCTCACAGAGGCTGACAGGATGTCACTGATGTCACCAAGGTGCACAAACTTCTCCAGAGGGGTCAGAGGACGGGGCCGGGCTCCGCTCAGTGTGACAGGATGAGCAGCAACGGCCAGAAATTAAAAAAAAAAACAAACAAACAAGTTTTTTGAACTTGTCAGAACTTCCCATGGAGGGTGAGCACTGCCCAGGGGCTGGAGACACCCAAACCCCCCGGCCACTCCCCTGTGCCACCTGCCCCGGTGACATTCCCCCTGCCAGGGCGCTGCACTGGGTGATGCCAGCGCCGAGGGCTCGCTCCGGTGGCTCCCGAGCCGTGGGGACACAGCGCGGGTCCCGCGGCTGCCACCGCCGGGGCTGGTGGCACTGGCGGTGTCACAGCGCGCGTGTCCCCTGGGGCTGGTGGCATTATCCCAGCGCCGGTGCTGCGGTGTCCCCGTGCCAGTGGCACCGGCACTGTCCCAGCGCGGTGCCGCGGGTGTCCCCCGGGGGCTGGTGGCACTGGCCCAGCGCGGTGTCCCCCAGGGCTGGTGGCACTGGCCCAGCGCGGTGCCCCGGGGTTGGTGGCACTGGCACTGTCCCAGTGCGGGTGTCTCGGGCTTGGTGGCACTGGCAATGGCACTGTCCCAGTGTGGTGTCCTCCAGGGTTGGTGGCTCTGTCCCCGCGCCGTGTCCCCGTGCCGGTGGCCCCGCCCCTGTCCCCGCGCGGTGTCCCGGGCTGGTGGCACTGGCCCAGCGCGGTGTCCCCCAGGGCTGGTGGCACTGGCACTGTCCCAGTGCGGGTGTCTCGGGCTTGGTGGCACTGGCAATGGCACTGTCCCAGTGTGGTGTCCTCCAGGGTTGGTGGCTCTGTCCCCGCGCCGTGTCCCCGTGCCGGTGGCCCCGCCCCTGTCCCCGCGCGGTGTCCCGGGGTTGGTGGCACTGTCCCTGTCCCCGCGCGGTGTCCCCGGGTTGGTGGCACTATCCCTGTCCCCGCGCGGTGTCCCGTGCCGGTGGCACTGTCCCTGTCCCCGCTCGGTGTCCCGGGTTGGTGCCCCTGTCCCCGCTCGGTGTCCCCGGGGTTGGTGGCACTGGCACTGTCTCAGTGCGGTGTCCCCGTGCCGGTCTCCCTGTCCCCGCTCGGTGTCCCCCAGGGCTGGTGGCACTGTCCCCGCGCCGTGTCCCCGTGCCGGTGGCCCTGTCCCTGTCCCGCGCGGTGTCCCGGCGGCGCGGGGCGGGCCGTGGCAGCGCGGTTGCCATGGCGAGGCCCCGCCCGCGGTGACGCGCGCGGTGACGCCGGTGGCCGGCGGAGGGGCCGCTCGGTGTCCCGGGGTTGGTGACACTGTCCCTGTCCCGCTCGGTGTCCCGGTTGGTGGCACTGTCCCCGCTTGGTGTCCCCCAGGGCTGGTGTCCCTGTCCCCGCTCGGTGTCCCCCAGCCCGAGCCCAGCATGGTGATGGCCGAGCCCCGTCGGCCCCCGGCGCTGCTGCCCCGCGGGCTCGGGCCCGTCCGCGTCGGCTTCTACGACATCGAGGGCACGCTGGGCAAGGGCAACTTCGCGGTGGTGAAGCTGGCGCGGCACCGCATCACCCGCAGCGAGGTGGGCACGGCGCGGGGGGCGCGGGGCCGGGGCCGCCGGGCCGGCTCCGGGCCGCTTTTGTCCCTTCCGGCACCTCCCGCGGGGACACGCACCGTGGAAGGGCGGGGGGGCTGTGCCGCTCGCATCCCCGTGGGAAGGGCAGGACGCCTCCCAGGCCGCGGGGGGATGCCCGGGGGTGCCACCCGCGGGGTGTCACCCGTGGGGTGTCACCGCTCTAGCCGGGATGCCAGCAGGAAGATGCCACCCCCCCCCCCGGATGGTGGCATCGCTGCCGGGGTGGCACCCCCGGGGTGGTGGCATCGCGGGCGGGATGGCACCCCAAGGATGCTGCGGTGCTGCTGGAGCGGCACTCTGCTCCATGGAAGGGTCAGAGCTTACTCTGCGCCTGCCGCCGTGCCCGGGGTGTTTTGGGGTTTCCTGACCCGGGCGATGCTGGGTTATCTGTTCCAGCAGAAGAACTTGTGTCTGTGTGTGTGCTGAATTCTTCAGCGCGGCATCCTGCAAGTTCTCCAAATCCAACCATTTTTAGCCTCTTTGTCTAACCGCCCCCGTGTATTACCCGGTGGTTATTGTTAATACCTGGTGCTTTACCTACAGCAAAAATGATTGTCAGTCTGCCTGGGTAAAAATGCGGTCGTGTTCACTTTAAAAGAAAAAAAAAAAAGAAGAAGAAAAAAAAAAAAAAGAAGGAGGTATTTGATGAGAGTAATGGCTCTGGAGGATCAGCTTCCTCTTCTGCGTTGTTTTAGGTAGTTTTAGTTGCTACACCTAGAGGTGAGCTTTTTGTAAGGCTCTCTCCTGGTCGCTTTCATTGTTGACTGGAGAAGAGGTTCCTGCGCTGCTCCGCACTTGCCAAAAGTCATTAAAACATTCAAACGCTGTCCCAAGTGCAGGAATTCATCACCGGGAGGGGGAAAACCATCCCCTGAGGAACGGGAACATCCCTGAAATCCGGAGCTCAGCTGGGGCAGCAGAGCCCTGGTGCTGGGATTGATGAAAGGGACTGAAAGGAACTTCTCGAGCCTCGTTTCTCGAGTTCATCACAAACTCGGTCCTTCTGAGCCCTGCTTGCTCCTGCTGGAGAGCCGAGCAGTGCCAGGCTCCCTTCCCAAGTTTGGTGCCATGTGCCAGAGCTGCCAGTGCTCCTCTTGAAGCCACTCGCTTGTCGTTGCTCCCCAGCCCTCATTTCTTTGGCAGGCTTCGTGATGGAGATGAAAACTTTCATCTCAGTTTTTATTGTCGTTTTAGAAAGCCCGTTTGTTTGGCGTGGTTGGAAACAGCAAAGGTTACAGAAAACACAGAGCTTAAAAAGCTCCCCAGTTCCTGGATGATTTTTCATCTGTGTCCTAAGGAACTGCTCAATTCTCTTAGTCTTGAATTTATTTTTTTTAACCAGCTTTTCTGCAGCCTTTTCATCTTCTGTGTGATTTTTACAAATTTGCCTGTGCTGGAGGATTTTTTTGGTCAAGGTCTTTGATTTTTTGAGTCAGCCCTGACTTCTGCAGTGAGAGATGCAAGAGTGTTTTTGTGGAACTGAATTGCTGAGTTGGTTGCTGGAAGTATTTACACAATCTCTGAGGAAGGGGAACCCTGTTAAGATCACTTCTGGTGATGTCAGAGGAAATTAATTCCAGCCAAATACTCTTTGGAATAAGCACTTCCAGTTTGGAGCAGCTCACCTGATTGTTGGATCCCTGAGCACACAGAGTGGAAATCCTGCTTGTTAATGACTCCAGCCCCAAGGGTTTTCATATTCCAAGCTTCTTCTGAACTCTTGCTCAAGTTGCAGTGGAAGAATATTCAGTTTTTAGGTGCTGGGAGGGCTGTGCTGGTGCACCCTCAGGTCTGTGCTGCAGGAGGATGCTGCGATGCTGCTGAGATCTGCTCAAAAATCCTGTTTTGAAAGGATTCCCTGTCAAAGTTCCTCCTGAATCTCCTCATCCGAACCCTTTAGATTCAGAACCTGTTTGTTGCTGGGATTTTCTAGCACTGGCACTTTGAAATTGTGTTTTATGTGATTTTGACCTTTAAAATATTTGCTTCTTTTTTTTTTTAACACAACTCTGCCTAGCCAATAACAATCAAATTCAAAAAGATGGGCTCTCATTACCTTGAATGCAGCACTCATGGACTGTGTACAATCCATCCTTTCTATGGAAAGACTGCAGATAAGAAGATAAAAAATTGTTGCCATAAATTGTAAGCAGAGGTGGAAATTTAATGAAAACAAACAGGAAGCAGGAGAACAACACAGGGGGTGTGCAGACAAAATCAGAAATCATAACTTGAATTCATGCAAGTCCTAAACAACCATACAGGAGTGTGAAAGTTGGGGAAAATGGGGGGATTAATCAAGATATTAGGTGATAAAGGTCATCAGAAATTAAATAAAGCTATGTGGGGATAGAGGTGCTGGAATTAATAAAGGTATTAGGTGATAAATATATCAGGAATAAATAAATTAAATAAAGTTATGTGGGAATAGAGGTGCTGGCTGACCCTTTTTCTGCCAGTCCACCCGGGGGGGAATTAATAAAGATATTAGGTGATAAATATATCAGGAATAAATAAATTAATTAAAGATATTAGGAATTAGGATGCTGGCTGACCCTTTTTAGTGCCAGTCCACCCAGAGGGGGCTGGACCTGACCTTTGCTTGGCTTTTTTTGGGTGTTTTGGTGCCATTTGAGTGGAGGCCACGTGGCTTTTTCCTGCCACGCTCCTTTCTTTATCCTGCTGCCCAGAAATCCTGTGATCCCAGGGCAGCTCCTGCTAATGAGGCGTGGAAATGAGCAGAGATTTTCCTGGGGAGGAGGAGGGCAGGGAGCAGCAATAATTGGGAAGTTGGAGAAGATGGGGATTTGCTTCCAGTGAAATGGGGTGGGAGTGGAAGAAGGAAAAGGTTTGGAATGTGGGGAATAGGGAAAAAATTTGGAGTAATGAAGTTGCTGCTTGGAAGAAGCAGGGAATTTGGGAGCCCACCCCTAAAACCCTTAATTAACCCCACCAAGGATTAATCCAGAGTTGGAACTCTGCTCCCCAGGGGAAAATCAAACCTGGCTCTCCCTGTGGCTGCCAGATGTGCTTTCACCTGGCTGCTGTTACAGGGAATTTGTCTTTTTTTTCTGGGAAAAAAGCATGGAAAATGAGCCTGCAGCCCCTGATTTGATCTGTGGCACCAGTTCAGGTGTGCTCAGGTATTTCAGAGTGAGTAACTCCAGCAGAGACAGCAGCTCCCCGTGCCACACAACAAAATATGGAGTTTTTCCAGCCTGCAGGAAGTCGTGCTAGTTAATTTTAATGCATTTGATCTATTTTTAAAATGTCCTGGGTTAACAGATCTGAATTTCTGTAACCTGCAGGGACAAAGCTCTGTTTGAACGTGAATTTGTAGCAGGAGGTTGTGTTGTGGTTTTGGGGTTTTTTTTTGTTTGGGTGTTTGCTTTTTGCTTTTGTTTTTCCTTTCTAGAATTAAATGGATAAAACAAAAACAATGAAAACTGACAGTTGGAGTAGCTGAGGAGCAGAAGCAGCAGAACTTTCATCTTTTCCTGACAAGCATTACATCCTCACTGCTTGGCAGCTGCAATTCCCAGGTGTCAGGGCAGGATTGAGCAAACTCCCATTCCCTGGGCCTGCAGCGGGACAGGGAAGGAAATAAGAAATAAGGGCAGTTCCTTGGGTTTTTAGATGAGAAGAAACCATGAAAGCTGCAAAGATACCTTGGAATGCAACTCCTTAAGCAGCAAAATCTGGTGGCAGGGGGAGATCCGGGATTCCCTCTTGGTTTTCCCTGTCAGGTGAAGGATGTGCTGACATGATCTATTGAAATTTGGGATTTTTTTTGTTGTTTGTTTCGAGCTGTTGCCAGTAATTGCTGGCAAGCTGCATGTTTAGGAACAAAACACACTTTTCAGATAGGAAACTGCTCCGTGGCTTGAAGGAGCTTCTCCACCTCTAAGAATTACATCCCTTTTCCTGTCATCAAGGCTCAGCTGAGCCCAGAAAGGAGCTGCAGAATTCCCTGCTCCTCCTCACATCCTTGGGAAGACTTGGCTGGATTTGAAGTACTTTCAAGTGGTTCTTCTGTAAAATCCCCCCAGTCCTGGCAAGATGAAGATGCAGAATGAGCCGAGGTGTTTAATCTGCATTTCAGTGCTGCTTTATCCATTTTATGGACAAATTTCAGGCACGCTTGAAGCTGCACATTTCCCTGGGAGAGGGGCAAAGAAAAGGGATTTTTAAAGGAGGAAAATCAGAGCGAGCTGAATCAATAAAGAGTTAATTATGAACTCAGGTGGGCCCATAATCAGTGTTAGCAGATAATGAGGTTCACCTCCTGTGGATTTCTGTCTCTCCCCTGTTGGACAGTTTGTGAAATTCTGTTATAATTGGAAGCATTAGTGGGGCTTGCATTGTTTGCTCCTGTTTCAGCATCAATAAAGTGACATTCAGGGTGGATAAACACCATTTAAATTCAGCACTCTTTAGTGTTTTTACCTTTGCATGTGCAGGGGCTGTATTTGTGCTTTCTTCTTGGTTTCAACTTTAAATATCTTCTGTCTGGAGTTATCTTCCCTTTGCATTTATTGGCTGAAAGCAAGGTCAGCAGGGCCAGGATGTGTTTTGTGAGCGAGCTGAGATGTGTTTCCAAGGTTTGACTGCTAAATTCACCTGCAGTTTTTCCTCTGAAGGGACGAGCTGCAGATCCCCTTTTACAACAGCATCTCAATTAATTAAACATGTCACAGCTGCAATTGCATGGATCCCCTAGGTTTGGATTGTTTGTGTGGAGCCAGCAGTTTTTCTCTTAAAATATCATTTTGTGGGACTCAGATTCACCAATTTGACT